TCCAAGGTGGAAGGGTGGTCCGTACGAGTGGCCTTACGAGGCTTTTCGGTGGTGTGTTGTTTTGCTCGTTTTCTCGTATTGCCTTTAAAGACAAACGGACTACCCTCACCGCCCTCTGAGTCAGAGTCTAGATCATCAACTGGCAAAATGGAGAACGTGTTACTGTTTTTTGGTGTGGTCTGAGAAGATGAAGCGGTATTCTTCAAGAGTTCTGCTAGTGTTCTCTTGGAGCGAGCTTGCAGAGACCGCTTAAGTTTTTCTCCCTGCTGTTTATACCTCGGGCAGTTAGTCAGGGTATGCAGGCTCTCCTTGCAGTACACGCATTTTGGTGGAGCACCGCAAGGGCCCTCTTGATGTTGCTCGCCACACTGATCGCAGCGTGGTTTGTTCGAGCAGTAGTCCGATGTATGACCAAGTTGTTTACATTTCGAGCAGTTCATTACCCGAGGTACAAACAGGCGTACAGGCAGCCGAACCTTGCCAATAGCGACGTAGTGAGGTAACGCTTAACCCGAAAAGGTCACACGAACAACGAATCCAAACTCATAAAGCAACCAACGATACAGACAAAACGGCTGCTACGACTACCATGACAAACTTGCTCTGTAACATAGCTCGATCCGAGTGGTAGAAGGATAATGATATATTGCTTGCCTGCTTTGTTGCAATATACACGGATGGGGACAAAGCTTGATATGAATCGAGAAAAGACATAACAAAAAAATTTCCATTAACACACGTGTATCATCTTCGGGTTTACTTTGTGAAGCAGCTTACCAACAATTTGCTCGTTTCCTTCTACCGCCCCGAGTGAGTTGTGTCGCACGGGCTGCTTGTCATGAAAAAGAACGAAGAAGATTATATCATTATTGCTTTCGACTTCTGACATAGCGTTATTATTCGGTTCGTTGATCGCTTGTCATTTTGTCATTTGGAGATATTTTTGATTCCTTGCACACAAAACGAGTTTGACAAGGAATAAGTTTTTTTTTGAGCCTACTACGGATACTGACTGCATTTGAAGGCAGTCCAATATCTTCACCTTCGGCAGAGCACGGTTTTTAAAGATTCCGAAGGAATCGGGACCCAAGAAATCATCACTAGTCAAACTCGCTTCGGTGACCACTCCTTCAATTTCTACCTCACTACTGGGTATGTAGACTCGGTATTCCAATGAAAAAAGCTCGCACGCAACAATTTGGTTAGCCTGCTTCCGGTCATCAACGGTAACGCGCAGTTTTATTGGTGTTACCTTGAAAATATCGGTAACGGCCGAAAAATGTGTTGTTAGATCCTTAGAGATCCTCGGAATGTTCAAAGGTTTTTGTTTGGGCCGGAAAAAAACAACCCATGGGCCTTTCGAGGCTTCTGGGTAAGCCTTTAGGCGGGGGAGCGCAGAGGTTTTTGGGGGCAATGGTGTGGGGGGTGCAGGTGGACGAGGAGGAGATGGTGGGGGAGAGGGTTGTGGGCGATACCTTTTCTTGGGATATGCTCCAGTATTTTTGCTGGAGAGCAAGTCAACTGGAACGTCAAGGGTTTCCATTTCCACAACTTCCTCGAGACTTTCGTGTGAGGTGGAATTAAGAGTTTCGTCGTCTGAGATGGAAAGCGACCATCCCCCGCCTTTATCATTTTCATCCATTGCGGTTAAATATCGCCGCAATGGTGTTTTTTGTAAAAATTTTTACAAATAATTGCAGTAATTTCAAATAATATCAAAAAAAAAAAAAAAATATATATATATATATATAGTTTCACTCTACTAACGAGTAATACATGCAAAGAAAAAAAAATCAATAAATAAATAAAAAAAAATAATGATTATATACTATTTACAGAGTTTTGGATCACCCTAAGTAATACAAAAATAATAATAAAAAAAAAATCAAGAAAAAAAAAAATCAAGCGAAAAAAAAAATTGGATTTTTGGATCACCCTAATTAAACACCAATCTTATATTGGACCAGGGAAACAAGGAAGATGCTATACTGGCGAGAACAATACAAACGACACGATTTATACCTAACGCACTGAGGCGGCAGCAGACTGGAGAGATATAATTGTTTGATCCAACTGCTGCAGAGTCAATAACCTCGATGCTGGTGTGCCTCGGTCGACTCGGTAGGCAATATGACGCTCTTTCGTTGTTGCTATCGGTGGGGTGATGTACCGATAGTGGTGATGATTTTGCTGATGATGTTGCGATGATGCTGGGTTAAAGCTGGACCGTAATGAAAGCACTCGGCATATCATTAACGGCTTCCTCACTCGCGCACTAGTCGTCTAAACACTATGCCAATTAACTTTGGCGAGAAAAAACCCTCGCGTGGGGAAAAACTCAAAACTAAATGATAGTGTCGTACAACGAGACCGATGCGACTTGATCGGCTCAGCGTGCGAGACGGAATGAACTTCTGCTAATGTTGTTGAACGTTTAATGTGTCTAGGCATCGAATTGAAAACATTTATTCCTTTGAAAAATAATGAATTCTGTGAAGCACAAGTCAAGAAATGTGGTGTTCTTAGGGGCTGTCCATAAACTACGTAGACAGTTTTAGGGGGGGGGGGGGGTTGACAATTATCCACGGCCCATACAAATTTTAATTTTTTTGTATGGACAATTGTCTACGCAGGGGGAGGGGGGGGGGTGAAGAATCCCAAAAAAACTGTCTACGTAGTTTATGAACAGGCCCTTATTTCATCCGCGTTTCTAGTATTATATCTATGATAGTCACTTCCTCTTTCAATTCGATCACACAAATATCGAGGTAGCAAACCGTTAACTACTTTAAAAATGAAAACCATAGTCAAATATACAATTCTTTGCTTCACCGACAACCATTGTAAGGCGTCTAACATCAAAGTTGAGGAAGTGAATCTATTACATCTCAAAATCAAACGCATTATTTAATCCTGCAAGCGCTGTAATCTCGATATTTGTGTTGCATTGGACAGAAATAAAATGGAAGGGCAAAAGTCTAGATGAGGAGAGATGATTGATTTGTATAGCTGTATTTTACTGGCAATAGTTAAATTGTTTTTCAATCGACATAGAATTCCATACTTCTTGGCAATTTTCTTGATGACATTGTCAATGTGAGAGTTGAACTTAAGTTTGTCATCAATAATCACGCCAAGATATTTAATCTCCTGAACGCGATCAATAGTCTCATCATCAATTACAACAGAGACGTTCTCATTTAATCGATTCCGCGAAATCACCATAAATTTAGTTTTACTTGTATTCAATTTTAACTGCTTACACTTCAACCATCTACTTAGATACTGCAAATCTTCATTCAAGTGTGAGACGGCAACTTCTAAATCCTTAGCTGCAATGAATAACACAGTATCATCTGCAAAAAGATTAATGTCGCAAAACCGTAAAACACGTCGCAAGTCATTAATATACATAATAAATAAAAGAGGCCCTAATACACTTCCCTGGGGCACTCCAAGGTTGTTCCCCACGGGACTGGAAACAGAATCATTAAAAACAGTCCGTTGAGTTCTGTCAGACAAATAGCTTTCAAACCATTTATATGCAGTACTCGTAATTCCAAAGCGCTTGATTGTACTTAACAGTAAGGGCCTAGAAATTGTTTCAAAAGCGCGTTTCAGATCCAAAAAAACAGCAACAATCGTATCTTTACGCTCCAAGTTGTCTTTCCACTTTGCTAACACCAAATTCAATGCAGTTTCACAAGAATGCCCTTCCCGATATCCCGATTGTTCTGGTATCAACAAAGAGTTGCTATTCAAATACTCCAACAGCTGGCCTTTAACAACAAGTTCTAAGATTTTCTCTAAAGTGTGCAACATGTTGATGGGACGAAACTCTTCGACTTTAATCGTTCCAGCAACTTTTTGAATAAGAACCACTAAGGATTCCTTCCAAATTTGTGGTACATGTCCATTCTGCAATGATTTATTAATAAGGTCCAGAAAGATGTGGCCAATGACATGAAAGCAATCTTGAATAACTCTAGCATTAACATTATCTACTCCAGCCGATTTTCCTAATGAAAAACAAATAACTCTAAGTTCATCTAATGTGATTGGGTGAAAAACTTCAAATCTGCAACTACTATTAACTGGCTGTTTTATTTCGTCAGGTTCATCGACCAATTCAATAGATTGATTAATCAATGAAACGCTATCTACGGAATAATCATTAAACTTAGCTGCAATTACTTGTTCTGACTGTTTTAAAAGTTATGGACCGCGGTTTGCAATTACTAGGTTTTAATAAAGATTTCAAAATTTTCCATAACTCTTTGCTGTTGTTTTGATGCTGATCAATCTTCCTTTGAACATATTCACAACGAGTTTTCTTTATCGATTGTGAATACTTATTACGCGCGATTGTGTACCTAGTCCAATGATTGTCGTTATTAGATCTACAAAACTTTTTGTACAATTTGTCCCTTTTCCGTTTAAGACGCAAAAGATCCAAATTGTACCAGCTGTTCGAGTTTTTCAAAGAAACAAACTTTTGCTCAACTAGTTGATTGGTACACGTTTTCAAAGCGTTATTAAGAACAGCTGTAGATTCATCTAAGTTACCGTCCGCGAATGGAAAATCCAGGCTTCTCTCAACAAGGTTGGAGACAGCTTGCTTCGAATATTTCCTCCAGCTCTTCAATTTTACAAAATTATCGTTATCGTTAACATGGTCTAAGACATTAATCACTAAAGTTTCATGATCGGTTATTTTCAAATCAGTATCGTAACTGAACAAATGGAATCAAAATTGGAATAAACGTGGTCAATTAAAGTTCTACTGTGCCTAGAAATACGCGTATATTCATTAACCGTTTGCTTTAAATTAAAAAACTCAGCTAAACGCTTCAAATGATTCGAATTATGGTTATCACGCCAATTAATATTAAAATCACCAGCCAATATATTTAATTTACTAGAATCAAGGAATGTCTCGAGCCAGTTCTCTAAAACTTCAACAAAACGCTGGTCACTAGAACTGGGAGAATGATACACAGATTTATCAGTTCCGGAAGAGGCTACAGATTTATCAGTTCCGGAAGAGGCTGCATTTGTACCGAACAACGGACTGCTGACACCATCGGAAATTGAGTTAGCCCAACCGACGAAGGCCATCGGAATTGAGTATGCCGATGGAAAGTACTATTTCCTGCAGTCGGAAGATGAATCAGATGATGAGTTGATTGAACGGGTTAGCACTTTGGATTGTCATTCGATGCAGCTACCGATGAAAATTAACCGGGAAGATAATGTCTCACCGTTGGATGAAATCGAAGAAGAACAACTACAAGAGGTAGAGGATGTGGCGGAAGCAGAGAATGAGTTCGAATTGGTCGTTTCGGATAATTTTAGTTTAGAGGAGGCAGAGGAACAGCTTCAGCAAGAAGACGACTGCGATAGGCTGTTTGTGGAAGAAACTCCGACGGAGGTGGGAATGGATAGTTTGATCGAGGAGGGTAGCGTGATAACCACCTCGGAGGTGACCGATGCTGATGGTCAGGAGTATGTTCTGGTGAAGGAAGAAATGCACGATGAAAGCAGTCAACTAATGATGGAAGCATTGGACGATGAATCTGTAATCGAAAGGGATAACATCACTGATTATGGCACGGTTGAAATGCTGGAAGATTCGTTCCCTTCGAATTCAAAGGAGAAAAGAGTGGATGTAAGTTTGTTCGAATTTGTTCAATATTTTGAAGGTATGCTAATGTTTAAATTTCAGAAACATTTTTGCACGTACTGCAATAAAGGTTTCCCTTACGAAAGTGCTCTTAAGAAACATTTGTTTGTGCACACCGGTTTGAAGCCCCACGTTTGCGGCACCTGCGGTAAAAGGTATCCCAAATTTGCTGCTGTTGTTTAGTCCAACTTACTCAGGTCATTCGGTCATTTCAGTTTTTCCCAAAAGATTAACCTCTCAATCCATCTGCGAAAGCACACTGGAGAAGAACCTCTCAAGAAGTATACCTGCTCCGTTTGCGGAAAGAAATGCATTCGATTGAGCGAACTGAAAATTCATTTGAAAACCCACTGGAAGAAGTATCCTCACGCTTGCACGCTTTGCACGGATCGATTCGCCGATATTACCAACTATTACGAGCACATCAAATCGCAGCACAAGAACGAAATATCCCTCCAGGAGAGTATCGATATGATTGCTCAGAACGAGAACGCTGAGCTGATCGTGCAGGGTGATGATGATACGATTACCGTAGATGATGGATTGTACCGCTGTACGGTTTGCCTGAAGACGTTCAAAACGGAAAGGCTGCTAAAGAAGCACAAACGGAAAATGCATCCCAAGGTGTTTGTCTGTGCCAGCTGTCCGAAGCAGTTTCTGTACAAAAGTTTACTTGACAAGCATGCGCGCGTGCACACACAGGAGAAACCGTTCAAATGCCCGCAATGTGATACGTCATTTTCGCAGAAGGTAATCCTCTTCGAAGGAGGTTTAATTTTGTTAAAACTTATACCACAACATAATTTGTCCACCGTAGGTCAATCTGGAGGTCCACCTCGGCAAGAAGCACAACATTCACGTGCGAAACATCCAGCCAAGGTTGTTCGTCTGTGAGTACTGCAACAAATCGTTCGATCGACCTTCCACGCTGCAAGTTCACATCCGCACGCACACCAAAGAGCGGCCTTTCGGTTGTATGGACTGTCCGAAATCGTTTGCATCGAATAGTGCCCTGGCAACGCACATCAAGACCAACCACCGGGGAGAGTCAAGTAAGACGCGGTTCCGCGTTGACAACTGATCGATTGTTCTACAAAGTGTATTGATTTTCCTTTTCAGTACTGTTGCAATCATTCCAACGGAACTCAGCTATCAATGCCGAAAGCATTATCCTGGAAGAACGGAGCGCCCCTTCGGATATCGTGGAGGAGGAAGAAGACGAGGATGTCAAGTTCATTCAATATTCCATTCAGTTTGTCAATACGGATGGAAAAGAGGATTTTCTCTAGGCAGGCGGACTCTGCGGATTTGTGTGTACATAGTAGGTAATTTAGTTAAGTTAGTGGATGTTTTATTTAAACTTTTTACAGTAGTAGAATAGACGTACTACAAATCGGTTATGATTATAATATAATACTTATGACCGACATGCACAGTAGCACCGCTGTACTCATTTAATCTACGTCGATTGGGATGCTTAATGGAGTACAGAGGTACTACTCGGTATGTTTGTACAAGGTATAAGACTCGTTTTTGAAGATCGACTTGTGCTGAAGAAATCCCAATGGTAGGGTCACAATTCTAGATAGAGCTGTAATTGGGGCGTAACAGCTTTTGTAAACAATGACTTCTAGCGATGATTTCTTAAAAAGTTAAGGCTCGCCTACACAAATGCTGGTTTGAAACCCTAGAAATCATCGAGAAAAGCAACTGTTCGTAGTCTGCGAAGGGTCCGCAGGTTGCTTTCTACTTGGTCGATCCACCTTGCCCGCTGCGCGCCTGTTCTTCTTGTTCCTGTTGGGTCGCTTTCGAGAACCATTTTCCGTGCCCAACCCACCATAGTCGCCCAATTTTTGCAATGTGGACGATGGATAGTTCTCCCAGCAGGTGGTGCAATTCGTGGTTTATTCACCTCCTCCACGTTCCGTCATCCATCTGCACTGCCTATAATCGCATATGGATTTTCATCAATTTTGAGATAACAATGCTATCAACTATCATTTGGCATTTACTATCATATTATGTGATAAAACTTTGAACTTTGATAGTGAAAAATGTGAAAACAACATCAAGTCAGTTTGTCCCATCAAGCAAAATAATCGCATATCAGTCCCATCCTGAAATGCAAACGTCCATAATTCAAGTTCAAGTTTTGCTTTTCAAATGCAAGCTTCATTACAACAGATTTTAAATTGAATAAATGATCAATAAATTTACTATGATTTTTCAAATATTTACATGGGAATTGCACTACCCATAATCGCATAACAGTCCCATATGGATAGGAAATTAAGCAAAAAATGGGACTGATATGCGATTAAAGGCTGTGCATTCCACTGTAGATGCTATGCAACACCTTCCGTTCGAAAACACCACCACCACCATCGTGGTCCTCCACGATCATAGTCAAGGTCTCGTTGCCGTAGAGGACCACCGGTCTAATCAGCGTCTTGTGGATAGTCATCTTCGTGCGGCGGCGAATTTTATTCGTCCGGAGCGTCCTCCGGAGTCCAAAGTAGGTACGATTCACTGCCATAATGCGTCTTTGAATTTCTCTGCTGGTATCGTTTTCGGCGGTCACCAGTGAGCCCAAATACACGAACTCGTCGACCACCTCGATTTCTTCAACGTCAATCTGAACTCGGGGTGGGAGGCTAACATTGTCTTCTCTAAAGGGTGTCCCACATCAAATTGCATCACGGAAAAAACGCTGTATTTGTTTAAAGTGTATTGTTTACAGTGTATTTTTATCGCTGTCAGTCTTTCCATTTTTTGGAAAAAAAAATGGCGTCACTCGAAAAGCAACGTCGCGAATTGATTTTCCGCAAGCACCTGGAAAATCCTCAACTCTCTCATCGGGACATCGGAAAACAACTCGGAATCGTGCAGTCAACGGGGAGTCGTGTGAGCATCGAACGGAAGAGAGAAATGCGGTTAGAATGGATGTTCTATTAGTGATCACGATCACAAGCGTGTCTTGAAAGCGGAATCCCAATGCTTCGGTCAGGGATGTGGTCAAAAAATTGAATCTGTCCAAGTCTTTCGTTCGGGCTACAAAATGGTGAGTGACAATCTGGTAGGAGCGATATACCTAGCTTCGGTCCTCACAAGTTCCTACCTCACGCCTCCACGAGTCATATGATCACAAAAGACTGCCAGCTGAAACATGAACACAGCTGGTTGGCGTAGCCTGGGCAATGTTGTCAATCCGACAATAGCAGAATGAGGAGGTGCGACAGGAACACTGGCGCGGTAACCATAGCACGGTGATAGAGGAAATGCTTCGCCAACCCGAGCGTCTGTTCATCATGGAGGTGCGGCTCAAACAGCGTCTGACTGGCATCCAGCAGGCTGCATAAGAAATGCTATTCCCCGGAAGCTACATCTAAGATGGCAGCCCCATCACGGCGGATAGGAGACCTTAGGCCAACCACCTACTGTCTCTGAAACCTTTACAATTGTTACGGAAACCAACAGAGAAAGATATCGAACTGATTTAACGGCAACGAGTTTTAGCGCAAAACAACGGACACGAATTGGATCATGGAACGCCCAGCAGGGTCAACTGGCACAACTCGCCAACGAGGCGCGACGCATAAAGCTAGAAATCATGGGACTGAGTGAAGTTCGTTGGCCAAACTTTGGAGAACACAAACTGCCGTCGGGACAGGTACTACTATACTCTGGTATTCGAGGTGAAAACGCTCCCCGCCATCGTGGAGTTGGTCTCCTACTTAGGCAAGGCAAGTGCTGCGCTCATCAAGTGGGAGCCTGTTCATGAGAGGATAATCGTTGCCAGATTTAGAACACGGGTTCGTAACCTTACCATAATCCAACGTTATGCACCAACCGATGCTGCCGAGCTACAGGACAAGGAGAATTTTTACAGTCAACTGAATGCCGTCGTGGATAAGGTTCCAAAGGGTGACATCAAGATCTACACTGACGACTCCAATGCGAAGATCGGCTCCGACAACACGGACTATGAGCGTGTCATGGGACGCCATGGTCTCGGCGAAATGAGCGAGAACGGTGAGCTGTTTGCAGAATTTTGTGGCAATAACGACATGGTGATCGGGGGCTCGCTCTTCCCCCATCGGCCAGTGCACAAAGTCACGTGGGTTTCCCGTGATGGACATACCGAAAATCAGATCGACCACATCTGCATGAGCCGAAAATGGAGACGGAGCCCTCTTGATGTCCGGAATAAACGCAGCGCCGACATCGCGTCTGACCATCACCTTCTAATCGGCGAAATCCGCCTACGCATGGCGGATCCAGCGACGGGAGGAGAAACTCGGGCGGTGGTTCAACACACGCCGACTTGAAGATCCAGCGGTAAAAAGGTCGTTTGTTGAAGAACTTGAGACTCGAGCTGCGGACGTTCCAGAAGGTGGCAGCGTAGAAGAACAATGGACGGCCATCAAGAATGCCTTTATACAAACAAGCGAGAACAACTTGGGTGAGCTGCGCACCCAGAGGAAAGAGTGGATCACAGATGAAACCTGGCGGAAGATTGAGGAGCGTAGAGAAGCAAAAGCCGCGATAGAGCGGGCGAGAACCAGAGGAGCCAAGAACGAAGCCCGTCAACGGTACTCGGCTCTAGAGAAGGAAGTCAACCGCTCTTGCAGACGGGACAAGCGAGCGTGGGTGAACTGCCTGGCCAAAGAAGGGGAGAAAGCCGCAAACACTGGTGATATACGCCTCCTCTACGATATCTCACGACGCCTGAGTGGAGCAAGGATGAACCCGAGGATGCCAGTGAAGGACACGACTGGACAATTGCTTACCGACCCCACTGACCAGCTAAAACGCTGGTTTGAGCACTTCGAACAACTTCTTCAAGTTTCGACGGCCAACCAGCCATCAACATCTCGGCATGATCCACCGGCGCCGTTAATCAATGTGATCTTAAAAAGTTAATTTTTGGTCAAGTATTAATCCAAGATATTTCACTTGGTTTGTCCAGAAAATAGGAACTCCGTTCATAGTGACTATGTGACTACTACTAGGTTTCAAAAAGGAAGCTCTAGGCTTATGTGGAAATATTATAATTTGAGTTTTAGAAGCGTTGGGAGAAATCTTCCATTTTTGTAAATAAGAAGAGAAAATATCTAAACTTTTCTGCAATCTGCTGCAAATAACACGAAGACTTCTTCCTTTAGCGGAAATGCCTGTGTCATCAGCGAACAAAGATTTGTGGCAACCCTGAGGCAAATCAGGGAGGTCCGAAGTGAAAATGTTATACAATATAGGCCCAAGAATGCTACCTTGAGGAACTCCTGCACTAACAGGTAGTCGATTGGATTTGGAATTTTGATAATTTACCTGCAGAGTTCTGTCAGTTAAATAATTTTGAACTAATTTCATAATATAAAGCGGAAAATTAAACTTTTTCAATTTAGCAATCAAACCTTCATGCCCAACACTGTCGAATGTTTTTTCTATGTCTAGAAGAGCAATTCCAGTTGAGTGGCCTTCAGATTTGTTTGAACGAATTAAATTGTTAACTCTTAAGAGTTGATGAGTAGTTGAATGCCCATGGCGAAATCCAAACTGCTCATCTGCAAAAATTGAATTCGTATTGATGTGAAGCATCATTCTATTCAAAATTATCTTTTCAAAAAGTTTTCAATTGAAGACAGCAAACTTATTGGGCGGTAGCTGGAACAACTTTTGCATTTTTCCATTTATCAGGAAAGTATGCCAAATGGAAACATCTGTTAAATAATTTTACCAAGAAAGACAAGGTACTCTCTGTGAGTTTTTTGATGAGGATATAGAAAATTCCATCATCACCTGAAGCTTTCATATTTTGAAACTTTTTAGTTAAAGACCTTACTTCGTCCAAATCAGTCCCCCAGGAATCATCAAAAATATTTTCGAGGGAGAAAATATTCAGATAATCCTGAGCAACCTGATTCTCAATAGGACTAGTAAAACCGAAACTGAAATTATGGGAACTCTCGAATTGCTTAGCAAGCAATTACTGAGCTTTTTCCAAATTTGTGATCAAAATTTCACCACCTTCTTTAAGCGCTGGAATATTTAGGCTTTTGGGGTTTTTTTTCAAAATTTTTGTGAGTTTCCAAAAGGGTTTGGAACTCGGGTCTAATTTAGAAACATTATTTTCAAAAGTTTTGATCCTCAGGGCAGAGAATCACTTTTTAATTTGTTTTTGCAAATCCCGCCAGATAACTTTCATGGAAGGATCGCGTGTTCTTTGATATTGTCTCCTACGGACATTTTTAAGACGGATCAAGAGCTGAAGATCGTCGTCTATTATAATTGAATCGAATTTAACCTCGCATTTTGGTACTGAGGTATATATGGAAGTAGTCAAAGATTCAAG